TTCATTAACTTATAAGTGCTGTGAGGCAGATACCTTGAGCTTCATGCTTTGGAAACCAAATCTGAGACTTGAGATGTGACCTGCTCAATGTTACATAGCAGGTCAACATGTTCTGCTTCAACATTCCCAAGTTCATAAAGCCTCTGTCTTTGCTTTGCTTTTAGTGAGAACCAAAAGAAAAGACAAGCAATGCTTTGCACAGGTTGAGCTCTGAGCCTGTCATTAGAGTAGCACTGGGCTAGAATGATTAAACGCATGGAAGAATTAACCAGTTTTTAAGATATCAGTTGGCATCTAAATTGCTTGTCCAAGATGATGAACAAAGGACAAAAAATATACAGGAGAGGAAGAAAAAAGGAGAAGTAAAATTCTGTCTCAGATCATAAATAAACTATCTTCCTTAAACCAGCCACACTGGTTGGTTTAAGTCCATGTGGCCTTTCCTGGTTGTTACTGGCAGGCTGGTAAGACCAAAACATTTCCAAAAAAGGGAAAAAAAAAAGAAAAGTTAATTTATTAGCCCTTACCCTTAGATAATCCTGTTCAGAGCACATGCAGCTCCAGCAGTATAGGGGCACCTCCAGGGCACTCATACCTTGCCAGCACAACCCCTTGCAGGGTGAGAGGGGACAACTGCATCTCTTGCTGCTGCTGGCAGAGGTGAGGATGGTGCCACACTGCCTGTCTGTCACCACATGTGATCACAGTCCTGCAGCTCCCCCTGCCCAAGATCAACTTTTAAGACATAAACCTACCTGGAGGAGATGGCAGCAGACACTGAGCAAGCTGAGGTCAGGCTGGTGTCTGCAGCCAGGGCACGTGGCTGCTCTGAACAGAAGGGAGTCCAAAGGGCTAAGCCGTAATGGCCTCCCCTTGCGTCCCCTCCCAGAAATTCCTCAGCAGCCATGAGAGACAGTAAACCGAGACCTCTCACCTCAGTCCCCACTCACCTGTCAGGGATGGGAAGGCAAAATGGATAAGACATTTTAGTGTGAAGGACAAGAAGATGAGCTGGAGAGTTTGTGGATAAAAGGATGGAGAACAGAAAATCATGCTAAGACCAAGATCATCGGGAGTACCCAGCAGACTGACAGCAGTGAGAGAAACAATTTAGAGAGGCAAAAACGAGTGAAGCCTTCCAAGAACCTTTATATCAACGTTATCAACCACAGAGACCATGTTTACCCCAGACTTACCCTAGCTCCTTGCAGAACACAGCATGAAAATCAAGGTCTCAGCCTTTACCTGTAACGCAGCAAAATGGCCCAAAATCCAGAGCAAAGTAAGCTCCAGAACAAAAACAGTGACCACAATGGGACCTTCTAACATAAGTGATAAAGCTCGTCTTTCCAGAAGACATATTTCTCTAGAAAATGACTGTGGAATGAGCTCCCTCAGAAACACCATCTTCCTCTGCAAGCAAGATATATATTCCAAAAGTCACCTCTTCTAGAACAGAAAGAAAAACAAAACAAAAGAAAACTATTACAAGCAACTGCCACATAGAGAACTCCCCTCTAAGAAAAATGAGCAAGTTATCCACAAATGGCAGATGACAGCAGTTTAGCACAATGCTGGTAGGACTTCAGATACATAATGAATGAGACAAGATAGAGCAGAACATATTCAAATAAAGTGGAAAATACAGTATAAAGGAAAGAAGCATCAGTAAAATATAGGAAAATGAAAAGGGCCAGAAGGAAATGGGGAACAAAAAAAAAGAAATAGTAAAGAATGGAGCAGCATACCAAGGTAACACTTTGAAGCAGATGATTCCCTGGCATTAACTGGTGTAGAATCATTGACTGGAACAGGTCAAGGACAGTTTCTGTCAGCTAAGGATTTGGTCCTCCACACAGAATCAGACAATGGCAATGACAGCATCCTGCTTGGTTTACTCAGGGTGTTTTCCCCCTTAGAAAGTAAAGCGGTAACACAGGAAGAAAATAAGATGACCCCATAAATTAAAAGGAGAGGGAGGCTAAACAGGAAAAAAAATAGATTAGGAGTAAGAAATAAAAACAAAGAGATGGGGCAAAGGTAAGATAAAAAGAAAATATCCACAGATTAGTGGAATACATTTTATTTATTCATGAGTTCTGTTTTATTATGCATCCTTGGCAGATATCCCACAACAGAAAATTTGCAAGGCATAGAATGATGCGAGTTTAGAGACTTGAGCCTTGTTTCTAGTCATTAGCCTTGGGCAGATCTTTTTAATATATGTGCTCCAGTAGCAAGTAAACAAGTTCTTTAAATCAAGAGCCTTTGGACAGGAGACATGCTGCAAACAAATGGGCTTAGATGGAGAAGGATTCCAGGAGAAAAGACAGAAAGCTTGGCCATAAGCTGTTTTCAAGTAACCAAGCTGAAGCTTAGCCTGCTAGTAAGGGTATTGCCAAACAGGATACTATCTGCTTCTCCCTCTGACCCCAACTCACATCAGACTCTGCAGAGCATCTGCCATTCACATGCCCTCCTTGTTAACCAGTACTTATTTCACCTGAGAGTATGTGGGTTCAGTTTGCCCAGCTGGCAGGGAAAGGGATGCAAACAGCAGGCAGCCACAGGAGCAGTGGCAGTGGCCCCTGGCAGTGATCCCAGCACAGAGGCAGGCACTGTGTCCAGCACCAGCTTCGCTAGGGGCTCGGCCAGAACAAAGAGCACACCGCTGGCAGATGCACCAATGCGGAGCGGGGAAAGCCCGGCTGTCTCCACTCTCCAAACAGGTTTAAGATGCCTCTGCAGCTCAGCTCAGTCACTGCTGAACCCTGTTTTGCATTGAGGCTGAATGGTCTTGGCACTGAGTATTAATAGTTGACTGCACCCTGCCTACAGCTTTAATTGCACAATGAAGGCGATGCCGGTGGCTTAATACCGAGTTATCATCTTTTCAGGTTTAAGGTAGTTTTATCCTTCTCACTCGTGGAAATTTGCAAAGTCCTAGAGAGGGTGAGCAAAGAATTGCCTCTCCTAAGGGACCTCTCTGTTTCTACAAAGGAAATTGTAGTCAAATATCAACCCCATCTGTCCCAGGAATAAAGCTTGGGGATCACACTGGAGTTTGCATCAGCTCAGCTGAAAGCCACTGTTCATTGATTTTCTTTTGCCCACACTCACAAATAGGAAGTTGAAGGGTTGCTATACTTTCTGTGGGTTGCCTTAGTGCTGAGGCTGATAACAAGACATAGACATTTATAGACAAGAAAGAAGGTAAGAGAAGAAAAAAGAAGGAAAAAGACCTTTAATGTCCTTTGCTCTATATACATATAGATTTTTTTTTAATTTAAGATCCACTTAAACAAATCTGTCCAGACTGTATAAAGACATTTAACAGACAAATTAAGAACTGTGACTTAAGAAATCTGGTATTATTTCTGGACCTTTCCCACTCTTCAATTGCTAAAAAAAAAAAAAAAAGATATAATGATACTGCACCTCTTTTTAAAAAGAACTGTTTTGAAATCGATACCTAAGAAGCACCCATATAAAAGCTATGTATGATTACTGTCAGTTAAAGCTCTTTTATCATCATTTAGCTACCTACCTATACTCAAATAATTTACAAAATTTCAGAACATAAAATCATTTTTGTCTACCCACAGTGCTATCTCAGCAGAAACTTTGATACAGAAACTAAGAAGGTTTTTCCTTACTAGCCAATTGCCTTTTATTCCCCCTCACGATTACTGGTTTCAATACTGCTACAATGGGCAGCTTCTCGCCAGCAGCGGATATTAAATACACCTTGCAAAGTTGAAAAGCCACCTCTGCTTCCTGGCTTAGGATATCAACACTGAACAAATCCTACAAAAACTGTGTGACGTAACCCTAACTGATTAGAGCAGAGAAGGATTTTGGAAAATGCTGCAACTGTGACCAAAGAAAATGAGTGGTCCAGGACATATCTCTGAAAATGAGATCTCACCTACGTATTCCAAGTCAGACACGCACAATCTAACTCACACATCCCCTCTGAAAACCCTGGCTTCCGTACAAAGTGTATTCTTGCTCCCCCTGTCCCCTTAGGACGTTAGCCTGAGTGCCTTATGCCATCTATTGGCCTAGACCAGCGACAGATGCTTTGAGGAGAACTTTAATTCTGGGAAAGAGACTATGTTAAAAGGAATCTGTCAGTAGATCTGTAAATTCTGTTAATGGAATCAATACACTGCCGCTGCTCAGATCTTGAGATCTACCTTCCCCAGCAAACATTGAGTTCAGCTCCCAGAATAACCAGCAGTTGTGCTTTGCATTAGGCTAATGAAAAAAGAAAAAAAAGTATTGACATAGGACTAACTTACAGGCAAGAAAATCCAGAAAATGAGCAGTGAGGATTTTCACTGTCCTACAGATGCACATAAGAAAAGTCTTTTTATAAAAAGAGAAAGCTCCTTCAAAATCCACCTGGATCTAAACTCAGGTTAACTATCCCCAACTTAGTAAATCTACTTTAGATCGGACACGCAGAGAGAACAAGCTTCTCCCATATTTCTTTACCCAGAGAGGCTACTGTAGTTGTTCGCGGCTGCTTAAAACTAGTTTACTTTTTAATCTAAACGGGTTTCTAAAAGACAAGGCAGAGCTCTGCAATGCGAAAGGGCTCAGAGGCATCGGTATCGATCCGCTCCCGCACCGGCCACCACAAAGCACCCGAGGAGAAGTCGGCAGGACACGGTACCTCCGAGGGCCGGAGCGGCGCCCCTGCCCCCGCCGCCGCCCTCGGGGAGCCAGAGAGGGGCTGCACGTCCCAAGCCGGAGAGTTCAGGGCAAGACTTCGGCAGAGCAGTGAAGCCCCGCACCAAGGCTCCCCCTACACCAGGCGGCAACCCCTGCACCTCTCCTCCTCCTTCTCTTCCTCCTCCTCCTCCCCCGACTGTTTACCCCGCAAACACACGGAGAACCCACCGGGCCGGGCTCTCCGAGCTCTCCCCACCGAGCCGCGAAGATGCTACGCCGGGGCCACGCCGGGGCCGCCCCAGCGGGCGGGCGCTGCCTACCTGGAGCCGCTCCCGGCCGCGCTCCGCCCGGCTCCGCGGGGCCGCCAGAGGTGGGAGGGGAACGCAGGCAGCGGCGGGCGGGCTCAGGCGAGTCCCCACCCCGCCTCCGGGCATCCCCCTGCCCCGCGCCGCGGTCCCGTCCCGGTCCCAGAGGGTTTGCGCTGCCTCCGCCCCCGGGGGTCCCGCAGCGCCCTCGGGGAGACCTGCTCCGCACCCAGTGGTTCCGCAACGTTCGTGAGAAGTGTCGCCTTGCCTCCAGCGGGTCCCACACTGTGCCTGAGAGCTGTCGCCTTTGCCTCCAGGGGCCTTGGCTCTGCTCCCGCGGGTCCCGTACTGCTCATGCCCAGGCGGTCAGTGCTCCCCAGAAGTCCCGCTCCGCGCCCGAGGGATCCTATTCTGTGGCTGCGGGGGATCCTGCCCCCAAGGTTCCCTTCTGTTCTCCCGAAGAGTCCCCGCACTTTGCCTGTCAGTCCCGCACCGCATCCGCGGCGTCTCACACGGCGCCCGAAGAGTCCCTCTCCGCGCCCGGGGAGGTTCTTCTCAGTGGGTCCCTGCCTGAGGAGTCCCGCACCCACCCGCATCCCGTTCCCCGAGCACGCGTGGGGACCTGGCGGCGCCGCTCTCTCCCGTAGCCACCTACCAGGCACCCCCGGGCAGTTCTCCGCCCTCCCAGGGCTCGGGGGAAGGCTCGGGAGAGGGGCAGCCCGTCCGGAGGGGCGATGCTGCCGGGGCGGACGGGGCTGGGGGTGGCCTCGCCCTTCCCGGGGCTGCGGCAGCGCCGCGGAGCAGCTCCTGCCGCCGCCGCCGGTCCCCACGCTCTGGGACGCGGGGCTCCCACCTTCCCGCTTTTGTGCGGCGGCGGGGCCGGGACTGCGCGGGCAGTGACAAGGGATTGATCTGCCATTGATTCCTACCGCCCGCCTGCTGAAGTGGCACACACGCGGCTTGATTTGGGGGGGGGGGGGGGTGCAGCCTGAGATGCGGAGTGTCCACCGCACGCTGCAGAGGGAAGTCATTTGTTTTCAGTATTATGACCGAAAGTAGTTGTCTGTGTCAGGGCTCAGTTCTGCCCAAGTTAAAGGCAGAGAGCCATGGGAAGCCAGGCCAGCTCCAAAGCACAACTGCATCAGCCTTCCAGGATTAAACATTTTGTCTGTTCCACTGGTATCATTTGGAAAATTGCCAAAGATGAACATGGAGGTTTATTCCTTTGTTACAAATTTCGACACAAGGAAAAGTATTTTCTGCACTTTTGCCAAACTTTTCAAAACTTTTCATGAAAAAAAAGTCCTCTAAACCATCAATAACCAACTGCAGGATTTGTTAAAAAAATCTGCTATGTAACTCTTTCGGCAAATTCTTTTTCCTAATCAATATTACCTTGAAAAAAAATTGTGCACGAATATTGAAGAAAATTCTCCTCTCTTTTTTTGGAGGAGCTTTATTTGAGGTGGGTTTTTTTAGAATTTATGACATGTTTTAAGGAAAAGAATTTGGCAACCTCTTGTTTTGAAGTCAACATAAATACTTACTGGTTTACAGTAAATACATGCTGTTGTGTTCCTGGTAATTTTTCAGTCTTACAGAGTCCTCAGTTGTGAAGGCTAAGGAGAGTGGGGATCCTAAGAATACATTTCTCTCTGATTGTGTTCACTGGTATTCCCTTAAGATACTATTGCTGTGCAGAAAGGATTCTTTTTATTACAAGTTATGGTGTATAATTACATTAATAAATTAATTTTTTATCACATTTCTCTCTCATTAATCACAGAAGTTTTAATCACTGCAGAATATGGCTTGTCCGGGTATTACAACAACCCTTCAGTGTTGTGCACAGCAATCTGCATTTATGCTACACATCCTTTTCAAAAACATAATTAACCAACAGTATATTAAGATCAAAAGTAATGACTTGCACACAACAGCATTTAGTTACAGAAAGTTGTGAAAAAGTCATGCACTGAGTGGAAAGCGAGTTCCTCAGAGTTGTTCAAATAGAAGAATGTGAACAGAATACTTCCTGAAGACAAACAAGGTCATCTTAGTGGCTCATTTGGAGATTTCAGCATAAAATTTGAAAGATTCTGCAGAAATATTATTACTGACTTCTGGAAATGATACTGCAGCACAGCAGCCAATCAGATGGTTACACAATCTCAGTCATCACAGGCAAGAATGCAAGATGCTGGAAATTGCCCAGGAAGGTGAGCGGCAGCTCTTTGGGCAGCAAGGACACATACCTTTCTATAACACACTGTGACATCTGGAGTGGCAGAGGGGGGAAGTGGTAGCCTCATTGCCTATGTCGAAACATCTGGTGGCGCTGGTGACCCTGTTCTCAGACACTGTTCTGGGGCTGGATATGTCCCATGGTCCTGCTCTGCCTGGTAGGGAGGGCAGAAACGTACTGTCTTGGCTTCTTATCAAGCCTGTCAAGCTGCAATCTGCATTATCATAACTTAGAGCTCCTTACATCAGCATGATCTTGCATTGCTCTTTTCTAAACAACCGACCCACTCCCTTGGGGGCAGCACATTTAGAAATGCCAGTTCTCTCCTCCCAGTGTTCTGCAGACTCAGGCGTCTTCTCTATTTTATCCGCATCAAGAAATACCACAAGACTTAGGAACTGCATTTATTTTTGTATTTGATGCATCATGGTTTCTTTTCACATAAGCAGTGTCTGAGCACTGAGCTGTCTGAAGGAGCATCTTCATTTACAAAGCAATTTTTCACGTGCTTCCTCTAAAACACAACAACTCCCCTGAGCTGAGATCTTTCTTTTACATGGAGGCCTGACTTGGGGGGTTTTTGGCAGGTTTTAGCAACTTCATTTCAAAACATGCCCTGACTCAATCATCTGGAAAAGGAGAGACGTCACTTCTATCTTCCTGATACAAAAAACCTTATTGGCAGCTGTTTATGGTGGGCATGAGCTTAGGTCCTGGCAGTGAGGGAAAGAGTTGAAGGGAAATCTAGGCTATAACACCATCATCTTCATTGCACCGCAGTGGTGTATAATATGTTTATAATGGTTTATAATAGTGTTAACTGTTGCTCACCAGCTTAAAAGGATTGTGAGACAAAGACTGTTAGGAAAAGTGGCATATATAAGGCTGGCTCACAGTATCTTGTGCTCTAGCACAAGGTCAACCAGAAATATTTGTATTTAGGAACAAATCGTTACAAAGTGTCCAGACTAGTTTTTACAAATATTAACTCCTTCAAAGCTGCTGGTAGTAAGTTAACTCAAGACAAAACTGTTGTTTTAGATGCCTCTTAAGATAAGAAGATTTTCACCAGTGGAGTGAATAGAGTGAGAAGTTTCAACCAGTGACCATATGGGTACATCAGAAGGGATTGTGACCCCTCATAAAATGGCTTACATCCTTTTTATGGCTCTCTAAAGCATGCAGTGAACCTATCCAAAGTCAAGCTGCCACTGGCTAATTTAAACTGGAAACAACAATACCCTGTGCACTGTTGTGCATGTGCTTGTTGAGTTTGTGTAATGCTGCCGTCCCTAGGGGCTGGCCATTTTCCCCCCGATTTGTTTTCTTCCCTGAATTGCCTTCATCCAACCAAATTCTGTCAGCAGTTACACCAGGGGGACCCTATTAAAGACAAATGGACTCAGTGTTCTTCCTCCACAAATGCTCATAATTTAATCTGCACAACTGTGGGACAAAGTGGGAGTAACTCTGCCTAAGGTACTTTCTTGGGGACAGAGGAAAAAAAAGGCAATTAGAGTGGCAATTCTTCTGTCAGTGAGAGCTGAATCTGATCTACTCTGCCTGCTGCAATCCCGCCCACTCCAGCCCACAGGAGACACATGGGACAGGGACTGCAATACCACTTCCAGTCCCTGCAGTGTTTGCTGATGACCATCCACAGCCACCACACCAGTGAGCACAGGGGTCGCCACTTGCCGCACAACAAGCCATACAAATCACAGCTTTTCATTCTCCCACTGACTTATTCATTACTCAGTGCACAACCCTGGGTTTCATTTGCATCCTGGCTGGATGAAAACTGTCTCATTCAATTGAGTTTTACATGGGGTTTGTGTTACATCCAGAGGCTCAGTCCTGCCTCTCATATAAATCAGAGGAACTACTGTTGCAGTATTATGTTTTTGTATTGTTGAAGATGAGAGGTAGGTTGGGAACTGAACCCTCTTGTACTTGCTTTTGTACCCCAGACCTGGGAACCCTTATGCTCTTTTGATTTAAGAAAATCAGTGGGAATTTACAACTTCTGTTATTTAGTTCAAGAACATAAACTTTCTCTGTGAATGACAGCGCCCCTGCTTAATTAGCCTGAGAAAATAGCTTCATGTAATGCAACATAGTGCCTTCAGTTCACTAAGCAGCATATTTCTAATGAAAAGAAAGCATTACTAATAGAAAGTCAAAGACTTTTAAAGGGTTGCTGAGGTAGCATGATCCAGTAATTTGAGGAAACACTGCATCTCCTGAAGAGCCAGATACAGAACTTGGAGATCTGGATATTTTTACTATTTTTTAATGCTGAGTATGTTAGTAAATTATGAGTGGTCAGAGGAGAATACTGCATTTGAATTTAAAAGTATCAGCAAATGTTGCTAGGAATATGTGAACCATAACAGATCTTCAATCAAGCAGAAGGTAAGAAATTTATCCGTGTCAGCTGCTCCCTGGTTACCAGGCTATTGACACAGTTCTTAGAGAAGTCAAATGTATATGTGCATTAAGCATATTCCATTTCTGAAAAGCATGTTTTCGATTAATTCTGAAAACATATTAACACAGAACCTTCTTTAACATAATATGATAGACAGCAAATTACTGAATTACTACTCAGTGAGGTAGGTAGGAAATTCCTGGTACCTTTCCTAACTCAAACTAATCTGAAATTACAATGTGGTCTGTAGTAGAATGTAAGACCTAATGTAAGGCCTTGGAAGCATAATATATGCTTCAATAAACGACAACTCCTGTGGAAATGCTGAATGCAGCAGGTATCATTACACAGGCTATCAATACAGTAATTACACTTTAGATATATAATCTGGCTTGCCTGTCACAGCTGAGTTCTTGT